AATATCTCTTGTTTAAACCTTCTCTTTACTGTATGAAAAAAATACAAATCAGGCCCTTTGGTGCTCTATCGTTAGGATGAAAACCATGAAAAGGAAAAGAATGCAAACACATACGCATACACATATTCTCTCGAACATGAAGAGAGGAGAGCGAAGTTAATTAAATTTCAAGATTCCAGTGGAATAAATTAAATGTATGAACTACAGGATATTTAACATCATGCCACGCAAAGAGAAATGGTTCTGAATTTTTAAAAATAATAATAACCTTAAAATTCAGATTAATCCTAGGGGATCCAAAGCAAGCACTTGTCCTGAACAAACTACAACCAGACTGTGACAAATGATTTTAAAAATCAGTGACGTTCACTTGAAATCTGCGAAATTATTATTCTGCTTGGAAATCCTTCTAGCTAGAACAAGTTAATAGCAGACTTCTAAAACTAGGTTAAACATGCTGTAAATCAATTTATTTCCCCTACAAATCTGCTACAGTGCATGCTTTTCTGGTGAAAATGGCTCTGCAATGGTACTTAATACTGTCACTACACTGTTTCTCCAACCAGTCCAATCCAAGTTTCTCTTCCAGTTAAGGTGTATTAAAGTTCAATGACTACCTTTGTCATAAATAATAAATAACAGAATACAGATTCTTTAAAATAGCATAAGGAACCTCAAAATGTATCACACATGCAATACATTGCCTAAGTTTAGAAAAAAGCCTTAATGATGCACATGTGATCCAAGTTCGCCATCCAGTACTCCATTCATTATCATTTCAGAGTTCAGAAGCAATCTGCACTATTGCCATCTCTCACAGATAGGTGAGTTGTCCTCCACAAGCAGGCTTCAGGTAATACCTTTGGCAAGACAGCTTTGATAAAAGACTGAAACGAAGATTATGCAGGTACACAGTCTGTCCCATGTACTCTATTTCTTTTTAATTTTTATTTTATGTTGGTGCATAGGTGATTAACGATGTTGTGTTAGTTTCAGGTGTACAGCAAAGTGATTCAGTTATACATATACATGTATCTATTCTTTTTCAAATTCTTTTCTTATTTAGGTTATTACAAAATATTGAGCAGCGTTCCCTGTGCTATACAGTAGGTCCTTGTTGGTTATCTGCTTTAAATATAGCAGTGTGTACATGTCAATCCGAAACTCCCAATCTATCCACCCTGCCACCCTTCACCCCTGGTAACCATAAATTCGTTCTCTGTGAGTCTGTTTCTGTTTTGTAAATAAGTTCGTTTGTATCTTTTTTTTTTTTTTGAGCCCAGATCACTAGATCAACAGTACGTCTATCACGTTACAGACAGACCACAACACGTGATTAATTAGCTGTAATGGTTAAACTCTTGCAGGTATACAAGCTGACAAACACAATCCTCAATCTCATCCCCGTTTAAAATTCATTTAGAGAATAATAGATCATTAAAGGTTGTCCAAAGATGTAAACAATTACCAAAGCAAGGGACTGGGCTTCCCCAGTTTGAGGAAAGAGGTGGAAAGTCACAGGACTTTCCGCGACTGAGGGCTGAATACACAATGCATCTAAAACCATAATGTAGCCTGGTGTCAACACTGAATTTTGACTCCCAAATATTACTGTATTTTCTAAGTATCTTTATTAGGATAAAAATCTTGGTTACAAATTCTGTGTAAAGAACAAAGAAAGAATAATTTGAGGGAGGAAACAGGAGAAAATTTTTCAAGTGTGACCCAAGGCAAGACATCCTGGAGATGACTCTGTAACCAGGCTCAAATCACAACACCTAACTGTGCCTCAGTGTCCCTTAAAACTAAAGGGTTAGGCCAAAGCATCAGTCTCTAACTCCCTCCTGGCAGTAAAATCCAGTCACCTATTTAGGTATCACAGAGAACTCAAGTTTTTGTAAAATCCTAAGAGCATCTAACGGCAGCAGAAAATGTGCTTACGGTGCTTAATGACTATGAAGGGAAGAATAAGAAGGGTCTAAACAATCCTCCCAGTCTTGCATTTTTCAGTTTATACTAGGCTTAGGAGGGCAACTGAAATTAGATGCTTCATCTCATCCCACAATACCAATATAATTCTTATTATAATAAAAATTTTAAATGTACGTTTTAAAAACATCCCCAAAAGGAAACCACTTCACCTTCCTCAAATGAAAGTTAGTAGATCTGTCTCATTTGGAGGGTTGCGATGCTTGAGCTACAGTTATGAGTGTCAGGATGTGGAAGCAGCTGTCACTGCTTTGTTTTTCATTCACAGTAGGTGGTTGCCAAGCAACAAAATACTATTGTCTGTTTCCATGATCTATTGGCCAATTTTACTGGTGATAATGCTTTCCACAGTTTAAAACAGGGCCACCATTTGGACAAGGAGAAATGAGAAAAAATTCTAAGGATGACAATAACATATATATAATAACTAAACACACTGAATGTACCCCCAAATTATGTGTATAAATATATAGCTGTGTGCTGATACACATACATACATTTTGCGTGTGTGTGTGTGTGTGTGTGTGTGTGTGACTATATACATTTTTGTTCTACCTACCTCCAACCCATCTCAATTTGATAGGCCAAAAGCTAGAATCTAAATCCCTGAGGGCAAATCAAAGCATGACCTGGAGATATGAAAACACAGTAAGAATTATTTTCTCAACAATAGCAATAATTACCAATTTGCCAGATGTATCAAATTCTGTCCTTTGAATACAAAGTTCTTCAGTCAGAAAAGTAATTCTACTTACATAAAAATAGTAAATGGAAAGCCTTTACTATCTACTTTGGAATCATCAAACATATTTAATATGTCGTTTTACTTCAAATCATCGGCTACCGCTGCGTACAAAGATAATAATTCAAGTGGGAATATTCTGCTTTTCTTTACACCCAAGAATCTTAACATATATTCACTTTTTAAATAATTGAACTGTGCTCCCTGGAATAGCCTCATGTAATTCCCCACTTTGTTTTGATACTGGTCCCTAGGGAATAACAGTCATGCTATGTTACTCGTGCATATTTCACTAGCTTACAAATAAAATAATGCACAGTGTGCTCACTATAAAGTTGTCAACATTAGCTTGCATCAGTTGCTGTTTGTTTTCCACTGACAAGGCTTCTAAAGATAAGAATTACAATATTCTTAGATGTACAGACACAACATCAAAACAGCCTGAAGGAATTAAAGCTGGAAAGTGCTAGAGGCAATCATGCTTTGAAATGAAGAGAAATCAGTGTCACTTACGCACACACATATATTTCTGCAAAGACCCTAAATAATGCCAGAACAGTCTTTGGATTTTATGCAATGCTCATCCGTCTCCCTTCACAATACTCCAAAGCACTTTAACTATTTAGTGCATCCCTCTAAAGGAGCCTTTGAAATTCACTTTTTGAAATTCATTACCACTTGCAAATCGATATATCGCAAGAAACTGGAATAAGCAAAACCCATTACGTGGATTGACATTATTACTATAAAATATATCAAAAGGGCAACATTAGCAAGACAGAAACAAAGTGTGTTAAATAATGAACTGAATACTAGTCAAAATTACTTTTCCGGACAGAGCCATCTTCAGCAAAACGCTCCCGGGAGCGCCCATCCGGGTTTCTCCTTCACGTCTCAACCCACACATGACCCACTTCCTTCTCCCTCAGCTTCTCAAGGTTGCTCACCTGTGTCCGGCCCTCACCAAGAAACAATTTCCTTCTCACTTTCTCCACCCTCCTCATAACCATTAGGCACCCATTACTTTCTCCAAACTACCGGACTCAAATCTGCAGCCCAGTTTGCCACGAACCTCCCCATAAGCACTTGTTTCCCTCATCCTTCTAGATCTGCTTTAAAAATCGCCACCACCGAGCAAATACAATATTAATAAAAATAAGGTTACAAGCCAGTTTTTTCTTTTAATGTCACAGCAGCAAAATGTTGAGAAAAAAACAGAAAAGGAGAAAAGCAGGAGCGCATTTGGAGGAAGGCGGGTGAGAGCGTAGTTATACACAATGGGACGAGAGGATCCAACCGAGCCCCGCTCCCCCACCTGTCGACCCCAACTTCCCCCATGTGCGCGCCGCGGGATGACAACCACAACACTCCAAACCACCCCCCCGGAAAAGAGGCGGGGTTACGCCTTCAGCCAATCAGGACCCGCAAGCCCCAGGTGTCCAACCTATGGGGTGGCCGTGGCAGTGCAGGGGGAGGACGTGGGGTGGTCGGGGAGGGGCGGCGTCCGTGGGAGGCGCGCACGTGTGGAGTCCGGAGAAGAGGGAGGCGGCAGGCGTCCGGCTACCGAGGCGTAGGCTCTGCACCCTGGCAGCCGCCGAGTCCTGCTGCCCGATGCCTCTCTTGCCTCGGGCTGGACCGGGCCTGCCGCCGAGGAAAACCAGTACACTGTGTCTGAGTTCCCCGAGTAAGGGGACAGTCACAAATAACAACAATAGTACCTAGTTCAGACAAGGCGGGGAGGAAAGTTTCCGGCCCGCACCTAGAGGAGTCCGCCACGGCTGGGAGAAGGGATGCAGGGCGGGAGGGTGACAACCGGGAAAGAAGAGAGCAGTGGGAGGACTGCGCGAGCAGGACGCGGACCCGGGTGCGGTTCAGGGGGCGGCGGGCAGCGGGGTGCGCTGTCCAAGGTGCACGGGAGGTGGGAGGCGCGCGGCGGGCGCGGAGCCCGCAGCCAACAGTAGCTGGCGGCGCGGGGGAGAGCTGAGAATAGATGTCTGGGGCGCCAGGCGCCCCCAGGCTCGTAAAAGTCACCCGGCTGGAGCTGAGGTAGGGAGGGGAAGGGCGCGGGGGGCTGCGGTGAAGCCCCCACGCTCCCCTGCCCCCTTCCCTACCGGCCTCACCTCTAGCTCCATTCCCCTCCCCCCGAGCCCACTCCCCTCCGAGCCTCTGTCCTGGTGCCGCGGCGGCGGCAGCGGCGGCGGCGGGACCGCGGAACCCTCGCTCCGAGCCCGGACGCCCCGGGGATGCTGCGGGCCCCGGAGCAGCTTACCTGGGGCTGCGGTACCGGTAGCGAAGGCAGCCAGCCGCGCGGACTCGGGCGCGGCGCGGCTCCTCCTCGCCTCGGCGTCCTCCTTCTCCGCTTCTCCCCGGACTCGGTCCAGGGCACGGAGCTCTGAGACCGCGCCGGGCTGCAGCTACCTTTCCCACCACCGCCTCGGCCGCGCTACCGCAGACAGAGGACGCCCAGTGGCGGCTGGAAGCCTGTGTGAGTAGCGGCGCCGGAGAGAGTGGGATCTGCTGAGAGGCGCTGGAGACTCCGTGGCTCAGGGCGCGCGGCCGTGCGCACGCGCGCCGGCGAGTGTGTGTGTGTGTGTGTGTGTGAGCGAGCGTGCGCGCGCGCGCCCACGGGAAGGGGGAGTCGCGAGGGGAGAGGGAGAGAGGCCGAGAGACACTCGCAGGGACCGAGGCGAAATTCTTCGCCCTCGGAAATCCGTAAACCAGGGAAAAGAGGATCGAACGGGCGTGTGGCCCGGGGGAGCTGCCCGCGGGGCGGTGGCAGAGGAGGAGGGGAAGGCAGCGCGGCGCGCGCGGGCTCCAAATCCGAGCTGGGCTGGGCCGAGCGGAACGCGCAGCCACCGATGCAGCAGAGGCGGCGCCCGCAGCCCACTGTCGCGCTGCTCCCTCTAGGGAGGGGCCGGGCCGCTCGCTCCCGCCACCGCCGCCGCCGCTGTCCGGACTTCTCGGCTGGGCGCGTGGGGACGGGGATCGAGCCCCCACCGTGGCCACCGCAGCCTTGGAGGCGCTCCCGGCGCACGTGGCCGATTACCGGCTGGAGCCGGCGCGTGCAAGAGCTGCGGGCGTGGAGTGGGCGGTGGAACCCGGCGGAGCGCGGCCTGCCGCCTAGACTGGGTAGAGGAAGCCGGGCGGGGGAGCGAGGGTGAGGTCGGTCAAGGGTGCGGTCAGCAGGCACAGTCGAGGGTTGTGAGGGCTTCCACTCCGGGCGGAATGTTGCCTTTTTTTCTCCACTTTTCCTCGAAGTTATCCACTTCCCAGGTAAAAGTGCCGGCTTCCTCTTTGTTCGGATTCAGCTAACTGTGCAGGCATCCGACTTCCTTGAAGTCCGGCTTCTCCAAGAACCGGCCAGCCTGGCGCCGCTCTTGGCCCTTTAAACCTCTGCTCTCTCATTCAGCCAAGCTACATTGTATACCATAGAAATAAAATTTTCAGGCACATTTACGTGCCCTTTCTCCTAAAAGACTTATTGTCCTAGCGGTATTCTTTTCCATGCTTGTTTTAAATTCTGAATGCACTTTTATTCCCTCAAGAATTTCTTAAAGGGTCATAAGGTCTGGTTGATACTTGAAATACCCTTCCTGGCAAGAATCCTCGGGCAGGGGTGGGGGCAGGGTTTGTGTTTCGTACACTTTTGCATGCCCTCCAGTACTGAGCCCAGTACCGTGTACTTTGTGTGTTCTCTATAAATGTTGAATGAATGACATTGTTTTCTAGCTTCACATGTCCTGAAGGCGAAGACTTGGATGCTGGGAAAGTCATTACCACCCCACCAGACTTGCTTGATTTTAACTTATACCATTTCCCTGTGTGTGACTATTTTCCCCTTTGTCGGCCAGAGCCCCAGTGCAAAGAATGACGGCAGAGAGTACTGACCCATTGTGCAGTCTCACCAGGGTGCTGGCAGAGATCACTCTGCAGGGAACCCGATGGAGCACCTGGGTGTGAGAAGGCTAAAGCGTGCTTCATTTCAGTCCTGGGGGAATCCAGTCTCTCAACATGAAAGTCACATTTCATTAGCAGTTTATAATGTCTCTTCTAGAGTAGAAGGGCAGGAAAAGAGGTTTAAGAGAAATGCACGTTTCTAATAGCTTGTCGGGTACAAGATTTTCTCTTGTAAAGAGCATTACTTAATGGCTACTTGCCAATACATGCAGGGTCACCCCAGACTACTAATTCTGCTGTAGCACCAAGCCCACATCCTTCAACCTTGGTATTTCTACAGTCATCCTCTTAGAAGCAAAAGTCCTCTATTTTACATTCCATGCTAAATTTCAGTTCCTTTGAACTCAGGCTCTTCTATGAGCTGCTTCTCTCTCCACTCATGATATCACAGCTTTGAAATAGAACTGAAATAAAGTGAAAATTAAAATGGATTTATTTGGGTGCTGCCGTCTGTTCTCTAGTGGGAGTCCCTTTAAATGATTCCTCTTCTGTCACTCAATTTACAATCTTCTTAGAAGCCACTTGTTGTGATATGGAATTCACGTGCTTTTTTGTTAGGTTGAAAGCTTAGATATTTTAATTTTTTACTTGAAAGGAAGCTCTAGAACTTGCAGAAGGAGCAGAAAAACTCTGACACCCAAAATGGGCTCTTGAGAGCCAACCTTTAAAATGGCTATTAGAGTCTTCCAAAATAATTTTAAATAATTTTGTTTTGCTTAAAAAGTTGCCTTTATGGTTTCATTCAACAGCTTCCCAAGTGCTTGCTTACTTGGTGGGATGGAAGAATGGAACAAAGCCATAACTTCTCTAATGAGCACCGAAGGGATTAGACTTGTGTTTGTAAAAACAAATACATTTAGAAGAAGCCAACATTTAAAAATAAGAAGGTAGGCTTGGAGCAATCTTAATGTATGTTAATTTAAAAGATAAACCATAGAAAGAAAGACTAACAATGTAAGAGAGAAAGTGTTTCTGACCCACTTAAAAGTTTAGAGGACTAGCTACGATTAAAATGCTATAAACCATAGCTCTTCATGCTAGCTAAACACTAAATAATAATAAAACGTTCTACCGAGAAATTCATTTTCATATGTTATTATCAGTTGAACTGAGAATTAATAGCATAATTATAAAGGTTTGATTTTTCTTCCTAAAAAGGGAATGCTCCTTAACATAACTGCTTTTTTCAATTTGCAGCAGTGCAATGAACTAGTCAAACATTAACTTCCTTAAAAATACTGGATTGGGAAAGGGTGGGGTGTGTAGAGAAACACTTCAAACTGATTTGACCACAATGAACTAATCTGCCCCTCTAAAGTTATAACAAAAGCTTTCTGTCTCTGAAGACTGGTAAATTTAGGCTGTGAGATGTACCGTGAATTCCAAAGTCAACTGCTCATGCTGGGAGCAGATTGCTCCAAATTCTCTCAAGTGAGAAGGCAGGGACCGTTAGCTGAAATGCTGCTGTTGAGTTTAGTGGTTGTGAGCACGCATAAGGATACAGGTAATTTCCCCCATAATTAGGTCACAGATCACTTAATGCGTTAGAGTTTTAAATGATAAAAAAACACCTTGACTTGCATCTGGACCCAAATGCCAGCTCAGTACAGAGTGTAGCATGGGAACAAGAAGAAGTTTCAAGTTATCCTGTTTCTCTTCATGCTCTTATACATTGTTTTATTCCAGATATTACTTAGGGCAATTTAATTCTAACTGGAGATCAGGCATGTTTGGGGAAGTCAAAAATCAGAGGAAAAAGGTTATAGTGTATTCCAAGCAAATGTAGGTGGGCTTCCAGAGTTATCAGTGCTGACATTCCGGAGACAGGCGAAAATATTAAAGACCACAGGTTCTTAATAGTTTACGGAATGATGGATTTCCTGGAAGGTGAAGAAAGCTCTAGATCCTCTCCTCTGGAAAGTGAGCATCTGAACAAAAAAAATTTGAATAAAATTTCAGGAAGTTAAGGGAACACCCTCTGAAGCTCAGGTTAAGAACCCCTGTCTAACATAGATCCTTTGCACATTGATATTTATGGCTAAAGGGAAATGAATTGGTAGATATACTACTATCCTTACTTCTGTTTTTAATCCAATAAGTTATTTGGTTGTCAATACCAAGAAGATGCATAAGCAAATCAGTAAACCCCACAAGTATTTATTGAGTACCTACTTCATAATCAATACCATTCCTAATGCCATGACTGTTAACAAATAAAGTATAAAATGCAATCTATCTCTGCCTTTAAGGAGCCTACAATCTAGCTATCATTATTCTTGGGAACAAAAAAGTGAACATAAGCATAATTTATCACTTGACCAGGTACAAAAAACTTCAACTTGAATTACCAATGTGACTTAACGAGCCATTTGTTAAGTAAATAAACCATTCCATTGAAAATTGATTAGTGGCCAAGGTATATATGCATATTTTCATATTCATATTCCCTAGTAGTAATAAATTACCACACGATGTATAAGGTAAAAAGCTAGTCTGTTGCTGAATTCTGAATTTTAGATTGGGGATAAGAAGAAAATTACTGACAGGAAAAAATCAGCCATATTGGCAGTGGCAGCTGTGGATTAAGTATCCCTGGAGATCCCTGGGCAGAGTGGAGTTGATTAGAATATGCTAATCAATTTTATATAGTTTATATTTCAACTGATCCACAAATTAGTAGGACCACCCATGTATTTTGAAATTTCTGTATCTACAAAGACTCTTCCGTCTATTCTTGGATAATTTTAGTGTAATATTTTATTATGACTCTCCTTAAAATTTCTTAATTTTTGCCCTCTGTTCTTTTCACTTACTAACGTTATTTATTTTTGGTTAACAGAACTTTTGAAACTACAACTCCTTCACACTCAATTCATGACAGACTTATAAAGAGGAAAAGCAATCATCCAAGGAAACAAGAGGTTTTCAGTTAAAGGAAGTGTTACCATGAACTCCTCTCCCACTTATGGGGTGGCATGAACATAAAGCCAGTCACATAATTAGAGCTGTGGAAAGCTCAACCATCCATGTATTGACCACTTACATAGCCTGCCTCTCCAAGGGCCCCAGAGGCTTCATGTGGGGACACCAGGACTACCAGTCACATCTTTTTACTTCTCCAGAGGCAGTCTTAGTGTCATATAAAAATGGCACTGGACATCAAGTTGTAAGATCTGAGTTCAATCCCAGCCTGGCAAACAAGTTGCTATGAGACCTTGGGCAAGTCACTTTCTGAGCTTCAGTTGACTCTCCTGTGTAATGTGGACAATAATAACTACCTCATTGATTAAGAAAATTACAACGTGAGAAAGGGCTTCAAATGTTGTGGGAGCTAAGTAAGTCTACGCAATCTTGGATTTAAATCAAGTGTGTGGCAGAAAATTGGAACACGTACACGAATGGGAAGCTCCTGTAGAAATGCTGGAGCCTTTGTTAGACTATAACTTAAAGAACATTGAACTGATTTGATGATTTCTTGGAGTCCCTTCCAAGGATATTTTAAGAAAGCCACAGACAACCAGAAGTTGGCAGAAACAGACACATGCAGGAACTTGTGGGTTCCATAATTCTAGAGGTGTTGTAATTCTGTAAATTCTGCTGCTGTCGCAAAACCCAAGCTTTTGTGTTCATTTGTTTTTAATTAGTCTCTGTTTTTCCTGTCACACAGATCCTGCTTCCCCAATGGTGTTTTGAGCTGCTAACTTAGCTATAGGAACATTTATTTTACAGATTAAGACCAACTGTAAACTTTATTTTTTTTAAACAAAAATAATTCACTGTTTATTCCTCCTTAATTGTGAAAGCAGTGTGTGTACTCATTGGGGGAAAACAAGC